TTCTGTTTTGGAAAGGCTTATCTTCAGTTCTATTTCTTGGAACACTTTGTAGAGGACATGGATTTTCTGTTCAATATCATTCTTATCCCAACTAGAAATACCTATGTCATCAGCATAAAAGTCATCTGTTCATTGGACTCAAGAGGGGAAGCAGGATTGTGGTTTTCTATGAGTAGATTCATTTGGGATGTAGTGTGACGTCCCTGAACACAGCCTTCGCTCGCTGCTTCGTTCGGGTGTCGCCGCTCCAAACGTGACGTCCGCCTGTCGCATCAGTCGTGATGTCTTGTCCTGTGATGACCAACTGGCTTGGTATCGGTCGCGGTACCCAAATGTGACATTCTAACCTTTTGGTGATTCGGATGGGAATCTGGTTAGATTCGATATCAGCCTCGTCGTTCCCAATTCGCTTCCAACGCCTGGTTACCAAAGTAACTGCGTTGATCTCCAGTCCGCCTACCCATGTTGTGAATCGATATTAGGCAGACAAAATTAATCAGTCGTTGGGGCCGCAATGCAAGTTGGGGGTGGTATCGCACAAATACGTATAAAAGAAACAAAATGATAACTCAAAAGTTCAAGGTATCAAAGAAAAGGATAACAAACTTTATGTCTAGTTGTTGGATACATAGGACTGCGTCTATCTCCCGACCCGTTCTATGGATTGTGACACGTTGTTTTCCGTTAGGCGAGTTTTAACACTTCAAGTTGTTTGCTCTTTAAGAAATTGGTGTCTTCGGGCGAAAGTCAAAAAAAAAAAAAAACTTATTTTGGTGGTCTGGATCTAAGTCGCTCTTCAAAATAATTGTTCTTGGATTGAAGATGAGTCCGGAAATTGCGCGAATCTTGGTTAGCCAATGTGAGGCTTGCTTCAACTGAGCACTGGAGACTGACTCTGGGAACTGTCTCTCCTGAACTCAACTCTGGAACTCTCTGCTGGAACTCACTGCTGGAACTGATTTTTCCGCTGCGACTTGCTAGTATGGACGCCGACAAAAACCGGGGTGGGTTTGTCGGCGCCGGGGTTCCTCGATAATTCTAAATACCTATCCACTTCTTTTATTTTTGGTTAGGAATTTTCCACTTCTTTCCATTTTTTTTTTTTTGGAGTGTCTTCTCTTACTCCCACCTTCTCACCATACTTCAGAGGGGCGTGAACTGCCCTCCCCACTTCTTCGTAGCAACCTCTCATACCCATCCTCTAGGTGGGCGGCGACAGCTTCCTCCTTGCGTCATGTGATCACCACTCGGCCAATGACATCCTAGCCGGACGTGTGCGATCACGCGGGCTTTGTTTCAGGGAAAAAAATATCTTTGCTTAAAAAAAATTATCTTTTTCTTTTCCTTTTCTTTTAATCGCAGTTCTCATTTTCTCTGGCCATAAATAGAACAATGCGATCGGTGGTGGTCATAACTCTTGTTCTCACCTGGACTTCGTCAGTCAGATTATCGCTAATTATCAGAATGGGTGGTCTATTTGACACAACACAATAATCCGTATCAAAAAAAAAAAAAAAAAAAAAAAAACATTTCCATGGTTCCAGTCATTCTTTGGTGCACATTTCTGATAACAGTTTTATTATCGCAGCTAAAGATGTCTTGTCAAAAGAAAAACGGTCAGTCGCCACCTCATGTGCGGCTTTGACACAATTAATTTTTCAAATCTATCCAAAGCCCTGTAGTTCACCTGTTTTTTGTCAATTATCAAAATAACATTTTCAATTGGATTTTTCTTTGGCTAGTCGGTCTGTGGTTTGCTTAATCAGATGTTTTCCCGCATTAGCGGTTTGTTTATGTATCCCCGATAACACAGCTCGTCGCCAGAACACAACGATTCCTTTATCCACTTAGAATTTTTCTGCCATTGTAATGACAGTTTTTGCCATTTGCTACTTATCAAAATATCCTTTATTCATTGTCTCTTAGTCGTGGGTGTCCTACTTATCATCCACGTTTGGATCTCGCCTCTCTTTTCCTTTCTTTCCTTCCTCTCTTTCCTTTCTTTTCTTTTTGCCTTGGTAAATGGTGCCACAGTAGTATGGAATGCTTAAATGATCACTGTCCATCTCTTCACATCTGTGTTTATAAATAGGCAAGGCATAGTCTAGAAAAAGATTAAACAGACTGGGGTTCTCATTTCTTCAATGTCATACTCCTGATAAGATTTGAAATGTTTCTATATTGGGGACCTCACCAGGCATCGAAGATTTTGTAAATTAATACAGTTTCTCTATTCGATCGATGCATTCAGTAGATTTGGAGCTTGGAAGGCAGTTTCTAATGGATGAGAGGAAGTCTCTATTGATGTGGTTATATACTGCTGTGAGATTGATAAAGCAGGTATATATTTTTCTATTAGAGAGCTAAGCAAATTGTTTGATGACATATATGCCATCATTGCTTCCCTTACCAGAATGAAAACCAAACTGGGTCATAAGGAGTTGACTTTTATAAAATGAGAGCATAGCTAATATAAAGTTCACCATGATGGAACCAATGTGTGAGAGTCTTGATGGCTACCTTTCTGTTTCCATGATAAACCTCACATTTCTGATTCCAAACTTCTTTGATAAAATAGTGAAATTTTTAACACTATAATATGCCTTTAAACTAAATTTTGCTATAATTATGTCCAATTCATAATAATAAAATGGTCTCTTTTCAAATTACTTTGTAATTAACTTCTATCAGAAATAAAATATGCTTCCTTACATATAAAGAATTCAATCAAAAGAAAATATATAAAACAGATTGGAAAATATCAATACACAATATAAATATTTTTACAGCTTCTAATTCAACAGTGCAATGCTAATAATATATAATATATATATATATATATATATATATATATATATATATATATATGATTTTTTATTGTTATGGTTTTAAAATGTGTTTCAAATTGTCCTTTTTCATTTTATTAGTTTGTCCAAATAAAAAATTCATGCAAACACATTTTTACTATAAGAAAGATCTACAGACACAACAGAAAATAAAATTATGATTTGGTTTTAACCAGGTAAATATGATTTTTCATTATAGTAACGGTTTAAATAGGTATATATACAGGGTGCAATGTACAAATTGTCACTATTTTATATTTTTAATTTTGTGCATGTGTGTTTTGTTTTTGTTGACTGCACAGTATAGTAGGTCAGTTGGGGAATGTTTGTGAGAAAAAGAGCACCATGATGCAATTCATTTTGCCAGAAATTTGAAAATGTCATGCAGTACTGCTTGGCATTCGCACCAGAAGCTCGAATATGAACATTTCAGAGTGTTTGAGTGTCAATCTGACAACAGTACAGAGAATTCAGAAAAGAGTTGGATGATATATCCACTCAACATTATGGTGTTTGAAGTGATCCCTAGTGATAGCAGCATTATGCCACCATTCATCTTCCCACAAGGCCACAAACTCAACAAGGAGGCCTACATCAGGTGATCGAGAAGTTAGTGCTGTCCTGGGTCAAGAGGTTGGCTGTTGAAAGACCTATGTCAGGCAACAGGATACTGCACCATGCCACACAAGCAGTAGAACTCAGTCATGGCTGTAAAACAATTTCTGCGACCACATCACCCCTTACATTTGGGCACTTAACTCCCCAGACTGCAACTCCCTTGATTATTATGTGTGTGGCACAGTTGAACAAGAGACCAACAAAACTCTTTGTAGCACTAAAGATGAACTGAAGGCAAGGATTATGGCAGCATTCACCAACTTAAACAAAGAGGCCATCAAGAAAAGTTGCAGGAGATTCTGAAATTATCTGGAGGTCATGGTTGAAGCTAATGGCAATTTTATTGAATAAATTAAATTTAATCTTTTTATATATATATATATATATATATATATATATATATATACACACACACGTCAGTAAAGAACAATGCATGTTCTCAAAGAAATAAGCTTCACAATCAAAATAGGTTTCTATTTTTTTTTTATGAAGCTACTACCCAAGCATCATGTTATCTGACAATTTATTTTCTATTTCTCCATCCTATCAATTCATCTTTCACAATAATATTTGTAAAAAAATCCAAAGTAAACAAACATATATAGACATAAATGAAAAACATGTATAATGCAAACCTACAGATAACATATTTTGTAACTTTTAGTTAATACCTACAAGCAGTAATAGTGGAAAATTGTTTTGAAAGGCAAATACGAAGCAATATGTAGGAATATTGAACAAAATCTTCACCACAGTTAGGTGTGCTACTGACATTTGTACATTACTATCAATAGATCTTTAAATGCATGTATACACACACACACACACACATATATATATATATATATATATATATATATATATATATATATATTATACTCATAGACATAAGAATGATTTTCTTTCTGATGTGATCTTCAGATATCTGACTGTTCAAATGACAAGATATCAATAGCCTGAAGGAGAAGAGTGACTAACGTGCAGTCAGACAAGCTAAGGCAGGTAGCATACACCACTCCTACAAACACCAACACCTTACCATGCCCTGCCGCCCTCTTCGTCATACTAGTAATTACTAATTTCATTGATCTAATATTGTGGGGGCATGTGGGCAGGTAGTGATGACAACCAACAAGAAAGCCAGGCAATGCTCAAATGCTCTGCATGAGCCATTTGTTGAGCAGTTTTGCCATTTAAATGATTGATTATGGCTTTTCTTAACAAAAACTACAAGTCACCTGCCAATCCACAAAAATATATATATTATGAATGTTGGTTGGTTGTTTTTATTTAGCAGCATATCAACTCCTACAGGTTATTTAATGCTGAAATCTAAATATTTTAGATGCAATTTTATTTCTTTTTGGAAATAATAATGGTTTTAAAGATACAAGCTTGGGAGAGAAGAGGTGAATTCATACCTTTCTTAAGGGTATTTGTGCATAAGTGAACATAATGAATCCAACTGAAATTGGAACTCTGCTCTCCGATCAACAATTCTGAGCTAGTATCCATTACACCACCAGCACATTCAAGCTTACAGGACCTGGTATTCCCAAGTGGTCACCCATCTAGGTACTGACCAGGTTCAACATTGCTTAACTTCAGTGATCATATGGGAACTGGTGGCCATATGCCCTATATGTTATGAAGGAAATGAATAAGTTACCTTTGATAAAAATAACCCCAAAAGTTTAATTGTTATACATTTTTTAGCAAGTTCATGAAATTGATTCAGGATTTTCTTTAAACAAAAAAGCCAAAAATGGTGACAGAAAAAAAAAACATTAAAATAACTGACTTGTAGTTTTCTATTATTGCATGCAAGCAGTTACTGACTTAATTTTAGTAATAATAATTATAGTCCTTAAAAAAATTACTATATACATGGATAGTTGTTTAAGAATTAGTATCTAGTTTATTTCAAATCAAATATAATTAATGTTAAATTTCTTTTGGCAATGTCCCCATAACTAGCTTTCTATTGTTCTAACATGATATATACTACAATGTATTTTTTTTTGAAAGATTTTAATTGGACACCAAAATGCTGATTTCTCAAATTAGAAATATAGATAGATTAGGAAAAAAAAATAAGAGCATCACTACTTATACTAGACAAATTCAATGCTTTCCAGTTTATAAGAATAGCAAATTTCTTACTTATTTTCCTCAATTTTAAATGTTTTCCTTTCTTGTAGTCTTTCTAACTCTATATTGGTCAATGTTTTCAAAACTTTAATAAGCTAAAATCAAAATAACATTATCATTTACACAATTATTCAGCACATATTCCCATTTACAATTAAAATTCCCAACTTCTTTAGGTGGTGATTAAATAGTCTATATAACCAACTCACAGTAAAATGTTAAAAGATCTGGTTCTGAACATTTTTATAAATTCAAGATTCTCTTTTATTGTAAATCTGGAAACATGCCTATGTTAGTCTAATAATATTAAAGAGAAGAAAATTTAATGTGCTTCCTTTTTTTCATTAAAATGGTCTAATTAAAAACTAGTCTAATTAAAACTGAATTATCATCATCAAAATTGCTTTGCAAAAATAAATTTCACATAACATTCTCACTAAGATGTATATATTAAGCCCAAAACCATGATTATATTTAATATGCATAAAAATAATACTTATACTTCCAAAAGAGTGTAAAAAAACATCAAAAACCCATTTAAAGTTTCACTATTTCAGGTTAGAAACTTATTTAACAAGAAAGCATAATTTTAATCATATCCATGTTAAAATATTAAGCTTCTCAATTTTTGTAGTATGAAAAAAAAATAATTGCATATAACTAAATACATAGAAAGGTAAAAGGAAAAGAGGAACTGATGAACCAAAATGTAAGAATATAGAAAACAAGAGAAAACAGTAACAGCAAATGTTATTATAGTCAATACAGAAAAAGATAGGCAACACTTAAGGCAAGGTTAGTCAGTGAGTTCTTGATACCAAGCGAACAAGATTTCTCAAGTACAAAATAGTAACAAGAAAAAGAATGATCTTGACAAAATTGTTGCTTAATGAAAAATAAATGGAATGAAATAACTTTCACTTATGTATTTTAAAATAAATTCAAAAAGTCAGTATGAGAATAAAAATACTTTTGAGGAGATATTGTTAAAATAAACATCTGTTTAATAAATTTTCCTTTTTATAGTTAATGGATAAACTACTTAATTATATATGCAAGTAAAATACCAAATTATTTCTGAATAATATGTTCATATTTATTGATTCCATTTGATCATTAACTGAGTGAAAGAATTAAAACATTAAACACTTTAACAAGCAAAGTAACACTGAATAGATTGTCATCTTTTTAATCTATATGATTTAACATCTCACTTGAAAAACATGATCATTTAAAGCTTTTTAATCAATAAAAATATTTTTTCCATCTAAAACTTTTGTAAAAACAAGAGAAACTTTCAGTGGCCAAGTTGCTAAAATGAAATACAAAGTATTTATCTAATATTTAGACTTGCTCAGTCTATATAAATTATATTTTAAAATCTAAATTCTGTAACTTCATCACTTTTGCAGCATCAAATGAATCACACTTAGGTGAGTATAGTTGATCAGAAAATATATATTTGTTTCAAGATATTTTTTTAAAACTTTCAACCCCAATAAAGCAAAAATAAAGGTTTTGGATGGTCACCTAGAAGAGTAAATAAATTGTCATAAAATATTTAAAAATTGATGAAAGGTTGTTAGAATTTGTAGAACTCACTCAACCCTACAAAATTCCCAGAAATTAGAAAAAGATAGCTTTTAAAAGGAAAAACATTAATATTTATATCTTCAAACACATCAAGCCATATTTCATACAAAAAATTTAAAAGCTATTGATCAGGAGGAAACAAAATCAGAATAAAAATCTATTGAAGAAAATTGTGGAGGAGAGTTTAGATTGAATCTGGTTGGAAAAGTAAAGTAAGGATGAAAATAAACGAGTCAAAAGAAACCAAAATAAGGAAGTCTCAAATATATTCAAACCAAAAGAAAAAAAATTTGTGTTTATATGGAGTTTTGTCTAAAGGGAAAAAATTCTAATATGTATTGCTTTATGAAATATAGAATAAAAATTATTTTCAAAAATAAGATTTTAATGTTATTTCATGAGAGAAAAACTTTACCAAATGATTATATTAGTAATTTGTTACTAAATGCAGTTTTTATCAATAGAGACAGCTTTGAAAATTTTGATAAAATTGTAAAAGTCTAGATAAAACATTTTACTACCTTTATCTTACTATATAATGCAAAAAGTTTTATTTGTATATTTTTTGCCTAATCTTTAACATTTAAAGTACAAGGGGTATAATTATTTGCTGTCATTGTCATACAGACTGCCACCATCAGTGGCAGAGTTACACTGGCATTGTCAGATGGTGGTGTCTGTAGGACAATGTGGAATTGTTTAAACTTTTACATCTAATAATTAGACATTAATAGTGTATGAAATAAATGATCCACTTTGAAATGTATGGCCAATATAATTAATTGACTAAGTTGATCTGTAATGGCCTAATAAAGAATCAAATCAATCTTGGGAATAAGATTTCATTGGAAAAACAGAAGTCACTAAGGAAGTCTCAAGAAACAATCTCAAAAATATAAAACAATTGATCCTCAACAAGAAAATTACTAAATACTTCTGAAATGTAAATCCTACATATAACAGATGAAAGAATGATAAGGAGGAATAACAAGATCATCTTGTATATATTTCCTGTTCTTGGGATAGCAAAATGAAAGTATGTCAAATTTTATTATGAAATTTAAACATTTTCACATCCAGTTGACTGACTATATTTTCTTCAGAGTTGATGTCCATATCAGTTTCAATAAATACCTCAACATTCAGTCCTTCATGAATATAAAACACCATTTTTTTAAAAAAAAATCACTACTAAAAATATACAGCATAGATAGAATTACTTCCAAGAGTATTTTCATTGAATCCCTTTATTTTTGCTAATACATAATTATCCACACATTGTTTTTTTGTACAAATTATCCAATTAGAGATTCTATACATTTTACACAAATAACTATAACAATATATTTACTATGATTTTTTATCTATGCTGTTAAAATAAAGACAGACAATTTGTTTCTCCATTTGTAATGAACTCTTCTGATGATGCAGAAGGGTTTTACACAGAGCAGACAGACATTGCATTTTGTATGTAGATTATTATAAACAGAATAATTCAAAGCGCTATCCTTATCTTGGTTGTCTTAGTCCCAATGTTTTGAGCATTTGTATCCTCTTGGCCTTCTTCAGATGTCTGTTATATATTCAGTAACACTAGAGATTTATGGTTCAAAAATACACCAAATGTGGCATATTCAGTAAAGTTTATGGAATTTAAAAAAACAAAAAACAATTTATTCAATCTACCATTCTCACTCCACTGTTCATAGCCGAGGAGTGTTAGTTAATTCTTTCTGCTGGTTCCACTGAATCCATATATATATATATATATATATATATATATATATATATAATAGAGAGAGAGATATCAAGATTCTACTGCCCGATCTACAGACTAACAACCAAATGGAGACAACAGTTTGAATAAATCAGAATTTTATGATAATTCTTCATCTAAGAAATACAGACAAAAATATGTTTACTGAGTTTATATTTTCATTTGACAAGCAAAAATATCCTCATACATAAGGAGAAAATGTATGTGTTTACACAGAAATTTTCATAAAAGAATGCTTACTATTTTTAATAAATTATAGGTGAGTAAATGACAATAATTGAACTATGCTAATCCATAACAAGGATTTGAAAATAATTGATTTTTTCAAGGATAATTTGATGAGCCTTTAAGAGAAAATAAAAACAAACTGATAATCTTGAACAGAGAAGAAGGTATAATTAAATTTTGTTTTTAAATCCAAGAAGGAAGTGGAGGACACAGCATCCATCATCCCAAAATTTCTTGTAGTTTTTTGCATTAAAATTATTACAAATGACAGGCAGACATGAATTTTGAGAAGTGAAGAAAAAAAAAAAAAAAAAAAAACTTGACAATATTAGTGTTAAGTAAACCCAAGCATAAATATCCTGACTGCATTAAAAAAAATAAAAAAAAAAAAAAGAAGAAGAGAGAGTCAAACAATTTAAGAAGCAAGGCACATTACAGTCAACAAAAATAAACTATTATCATATAAAACAGTTATAAAAGCTAGACACCTGCCCATACCCCATTATTAACATGTACTGGTCGGTTGGAAGTGGGGGGGGGATCTAGCCAATTTTCCAGACCAAGAGAGAATAATCTTTTTAACCCACTTGAGCCCTCAGCTCTGGTAGCATGATATTAAATGAAGAATACATCAATATGTCAGAGGGAAGTCATTTACTGTTGCTTGCACAATGAGTCAGAGAATTTTGAGTCAGCACATAAGACTTTATATGAAACACAATTGTTACACTGCACAAAGAGAGACATTTTTAATTAATAAATAAAGGAAAAATTAAGCTTCAAATCAAGACAACTCTTTAACAATCAAGTGCACAACTACCAACTCTATTCACTTTTCCACTCCCCTCCGAAAATTGTTCTTTACCCACATCTTATTGAC